CTTCCCCTTCGCCCCCCTTCGCCCCTGGCGTTCTGGCTGCGAGTCCTCGGCCTCGGAGTTTGCGGAGCAGAGACGCTGCTCCTCCCTAGGAAACTCCACGCTGCTCAGACACCGTCCAGTCGCCTCCTCCAGTCGCCCTACAGCAGCTGCTGGAAGCGCCCCAGGGCTCCAGGCGGGTGGAGGTCCAGGTCCCTTGGGGCCCTCCTGTCCTGGGCCTCCTGCCGGCTCCTCGTTTCCAAATTCTCCGCCTCCTCCGCCTGCCCTATGGAGTCCTTTTCTTCCCGGCGGACACCCTCGCCGACCCTCCCTGTTCTCCGCACCTGGCACCTCGGAGACCAATATCGACAGAGCCCCCGGCCTTGGTGATGCTGAGCTTCTGGTATGGGAGCCGGGGCAGGAGGCAATAGATGCAAACCCTGAGCTAACGGTCTGTTAGAAGGAGCACGTGCATATTGAATGTAAACTCTGGTTGAAAGAGATAATCTAGCCCGGCCGGGCGTGGCTCAGCGGTTGAGCATCAACCTAGGATCCAGGGGATCCCGGCTGGACTCCCGGTCAGGGCACGTGCCCGGGTTGCGGGCTCGATCCCCAGCGCGGGGCGTGCAGGAGGCAGCCGATCAATGACTCTCATCATTGATATTTCTCTCTCCCTCTCCCTTCCTCTTTCCGAAGTCAATAAAATATATATTTTTAAAAAGAAAGATAAAATTGAAATTAAAAAAAAAAAGTACGTGCTATGGGGAAATAAAACTGGGAGGAGCTGTGGCTGCAACTTGGGGCTAGACTTTAGGTTGAAAGATGACAAGGAGTTAGGGTCTTGCTCGCATTCTCCCGGTGTTGGGCCATCTGACGGTCAATCGCCCACCTCCTGCCCGTGCAGAAGGCACCACAGCACCGGTGTCCGATCCTTCAGGTGCGGGTGGGCGTCTTGGGTCGGTAGCGTAGGATAGACTGAGATGACCGCAGAAGAACCGCACTCCGGCGGGCGCCCACCGCCCAGGTCCAGCGGAGGGTCCCGCGGAGGCGCCTGGATCTCCGTGCAGTCCGCCAGCGCCCCCTCCCGGCTTCCAGGAGCATCAGCCGCAAGGTCGCCCGGGACGGGGAGCTTGGGATCCCATGAGGACCTCTCGAAAGCAATCAAGGGAAATGCAACCCCAAGTAGAAAACATCCGTAAGTTGTGCGCACAAGAGGGAACTAAAGGGTGCTATTATTTTCTTTTTTTTAATTCTCATCCTAGGGTATATATACAGGGTGTTCCCCCAAAATGTATACACGCTGAATAATTATTAATTCCAATGGGTTAAATCTGAAAAGAAAGAAACATCAATTGGGCTATCAGCTGTTAAAGTGTGTATACATTTTTTTAAAGGACACCCTGTACATGTTTTTAAATGCATTTTAGAGAGAGAGAGGAAGGGAGAAACACCCACGTGAGAGAAACATCCATCGGTTGCCTCCCATATGCACACCTACCAGGGGTTGAACTGCAACCTAGGTTTGTGCCCTGAGCAGGAACTGAACCCAAAACCTTTTGGTGTACTGGATGGCGCCCCAACCAACTGAGCTACCCAGCCAGGCATTATTTTATTTTAAGTGATAGTACTGGGTGTTGGCAAGGATGTCTGAGAGTCCAGTATTCTCATGCAATCTCACTTGTAGAGCTCTGTCCTAGGAAAGCCCAAGGCTGTTTTGTGGTTTTTTTTTTTTTAAGTATATCTTTATTGATTTCAAAGAGAGGGAGAGAGAGAGAGAGAGGGAAAGAGAGAGAGAGGGAGAGGGAAACATCAATGATGAAAGAGTCATCATTGATCAGCTGCCTCCTGCAAACCCTGCCCCCCCACACACACACACTGGGGATGGAGCCGGCAATCCAGGCATGTGCCCTGACCAGGAATCGAACCAAGATCTTCTGGATCCTAGGTCGATGGTCAACCTCTGAGCCATGCCCGGCTGGGCCCCAAGGCTGTGTTAAAGAATGCTTTTCAGCAGGTGTGCTGCAAGGATTTTTAAAACATGCAATACCTGACTATTGAATCAGGGGCACTGACTTATTTTTCCTTAGATTGTCAAATAAAAAAAATGATGACAGTCAACACAATAGGCATCCAATGTGAACAAATCAAAATTATACCTATTTTTTTGTCAGACTGGCAAAAGATTTTTTTTTAGTGTGCCACAGAATTTTAGTAATTAGTTTATGTGTGCCATGAGATGAAAAAGGTAGAAAATTGCTGGTTTAAATGATTAAAACNGAAAATCGCTGGTTTAAATGATTAAAACCTGCCCTACTGGCGTGGCTCAGCAGTTGAGTATCAGCCTATGAACCAGGAGATCGCGGTTAGATTCCCCATCCGGGCACATGCCGGGGGTTGTAGGCTTGATCCCCAGTAGGGGGCGTGCAGGAGGCAGCTGATCAATGACTCTCATCATTGATGTTTCTCTCTCTCTCTCCCTCTCACTTCCTTTCTCTGGAATCAGTAAAAACATATTTTAAAAATAAACAAAAGATTAAAAACCTAGAAACAACTGGAGTACTTGAGCAATCAGAATTGGTTGGATAAGCTATCACCCATCCCTGTAGTGTTATGCTGCGCAGTAAAAGGATGTCAGAAAGACACTTGCAATCTATGAAGAAAATATATGAGCTGTATCATCCCAATTTTCTGAATATGAAAAATATGGATCATAAATGGCAGATTACTGGAGATATTTGTAATATTTCTTTCATAATCTATTTTTTTCAATGACCATGAATTACCTTTTCTTTTAGCTTGAAGACCAATAAAAGCCCTTCTTAGAAAGCACATAGTCATCCTATTTACTGTTTATCCCCATCATAATTAATGCCCCAGCCACCCACTCAGAGTGCAGAGCTGTCACCCATCTTCGATCTCTGAGGATTTTCTGCTCTGTTGAATACTTGTGGGAACCACTTTCTTCACAGGAACACAACCATCCAGTAGAATGCCAACTGTGTGGAACCAGAATGGGTCATTTACCCTGACCCTTCTCCTGGATTCTCCTCCTGGTGGGTGGCACTGTCACCCCTCAGCTGGGAAGGCCAGTCCTCTCTCCGTCATGCCCTGTCCCCCAAGCAAGACAACGTATCACCGAGTCCAGCCCAGCCCCCTTTCAGCTTCTCCTATCTCCCTTCCTCTCCTCTCACCCGGGCTGTGGGGGCCTCCTCAATGGCTTTCCAGCTCCCACTTTGGATCCCACCAGTCCACCCTAATGGCGCTGGGGGGAGTTTTGTGTAATGATGTGGACCATGTCCCTCCTCTATATGAATCCTTCCCCCACCTCCCAATACCTGTGATGAAATTGAAACCCTTGCTGTGGCCTCCAGGCCCTGAGCCACCGGCATCTGCTCACCACTCCTGCCTACTGGTCTTCCTGCCCTGCTCCCTCAGGGCCTAGGCTCAGTGCTCCCAGGCCCACTCTCCTTGCCCTTCAACTCCCTCTAGGGGCTTCCTCAGGCTGTCCTCCATGAGCCTGAGGTCAGGACCCTGTCAGACACTGTGGGGCACCTTTCCTCCTGGGCAGCCCTTGACCCCAGTTTTCATGGACTTAGCAGTCAGAAGTCCCGAGTTTCCTGTCTAGCCCTGGGAGGCAGAGCTGTGACCTGGTTACCACTAGATCCCAACCAGGCACCTGCTCTGGGCAGACTTCAAGGTCTTCAAGAAGTAAAGGGGCAAGAAAGTGGCAGGAGGGAGCGGGAAAGGGGGAAAGATGAGGGTGAACCTAGGCGAGGGTTACATCATGTCCCCTGCACTGTTCCTTCAACTTTTATGCGAGTTTGAAATGTTTCAAAATAAAGAAAATCTTGACACTGCTGGCTCCAGTGTATGGGCTCTGGGCTTGGCTCAGCAGTGGCTTCCTGATCCGTGGTACTGAACACCTTCCAGGCAGATGACTAGCACTGCCTGCCACTCAGGAGGTAGATGGACCCTTGCTGTGCCCTCAAGTGGCCACCAGGGGCCACCAAATCAGCCAGGTCCCTCACTGGGGACATGAGGGCCCGCCCAGCCTGCAGCTATCCTGGCAGCAGCAGGAGGGGTCAATAATGCCTCAGGAAAGTTCTGGGAGTGGGCAGGCCTGGGACTGCCTGAGCACCAGGCTGAGTGGGATGAGGAAGAGTCTTGCCTGCCCCCTCTCCTCACCTTCTTGTCACTCCCACTTCCCTGGTGGCACTCCGTCTTTACACGTTAGATCCCCAGCAACTCCTCCTGCATTCTTACCACCAGAAAAACCCCCGCCCACCAAGAGGATGACTCAGAACTAAGGAAAGGAGAAATTGGTAGGTAAGGGGAATGTATTTAAATATAGAATTAAGACAAAAGAACACCTCAAATTATGGTTACAGAATATAAATGTTACAAACATGCTATAAAAATAAAATAGCAAAATGGACAGCTGGCAGGAAAGAGTGCTGGGTAACTCGCTCTGCTAGGAGGGAGTCAATAGATACTGATTACATTTGGAAAATGTTTTAAAAGATAAGGTCTCTAAACTCTTTATTTTAAAAATAAGCCATTTCCTTGTGCCCAGTGGCAGTTTTCAAAGAACGAGGGCCATGAGAGGTGAAGCAACTGAGGCTGAAACCTTTCCAGTGGGGGTCTCTGGGGGCCCCTGACTACTGGCTGAAGACCTGTGGAGTTTCTTCACCTCCTCCAGCAGGGGCAGCACCCAGGGGCTAGGGAGGGGCTCACGTTCCTGGTCATCTCCCTCAGCTCCCCAAACACCTAGAAGGAATATGATGGGAGCACCACACACTTCTGTCAGGGTCCTCACCCCCAGGCTGAAGGCCCACCCCCTCCTCAAGCAGAACCCTGGGCCACCATGATGGCAGAGGCCCTGTGTAGGGGGCTGTTAGTCCCAGGTGACTGCCTGAAGGAGGTGAGCCTCCTGAAGATCCAGCGGGAGCAGGCTGAGAATCCTGAAATTTTTACAACCTGTTCATGATGGGATCTAGCATATAGGTTATTTTATTTTGTTTTGATTTTTCTTTTCTTTTTCTGCTTACAAAAGTAACTTGCAATAGAGCTGAAAAACATTACACAATGTTGAGAGTGAAAATCAGTCAGGAACTGGGCTCCAGGCAGAAGTCACAGCCAAGTTCACTGACCCACCAAGGACGCTGCGCCTGCAGTTGTCAGGGTTACGGAGCCTTGCTGGGCCCCACAGAGGACTCCTCCCTGCCCACTGTGGGACTGGGGGCAGGCCCCCCTGCCAACCTTCCTTCTTCTTTTCCTTCTGGAAGAGAAAGGGGTGGGGCAGGCTGGTGTTAGAGGAAAAGGGAAGGGGCAGGGGTATGGCATAGACCCAAAGCCCAGAGCTCTCAGTCCACCAGAGGATGTTCTGGGGCACCACTGACACGACTTAGAGAATTGCCAACTCCAGATATGCTCCCAAAGGCCACAAAGGCTGCTAAAGTCATTTCCAGGAAACTTTGGGCCAAATCTGGGCTGAGCATTGGGAAGCTGCTGCTATCCCCACTGTCTGGCCTGGGATGAAGCAAGATGGGGGTGGGGACCAGGTACAGTGGTAAAGATGGGATGGCAGGTTGAGGGAGTTGACGGCTGGAATACCTGCCCAAGGGAGCCTGTGGGGCTGAGAGGAAGTTCTTGCTCTGCTCTCTATCTCTCCATCGGATTCTCATAACAGCATGTGTGGGGTGGGGCCTATCTGGCCCCAGGGCCTGGGCAGATGCCTAAGCAGACGTCTTACAAAGGGTGGAAAACACCCTGGAGATGACCCAGTCCACTGAGTTGAGAACAGGCTCTAAGCCAAATGTCCCCCCTTCACACTCTGCAGGGATCAGCTGATGGCCTCAGGGTAGTAACTTGGCCTCTCTGAGCCTTGCTTCTCAAGAGGTTATGGGACAGCACCCTCCACCCCCTGGGCTGGCAGGAGGAAGCAGGTAGACACATGGAGGCACCTGAACCAGAACTGGCTGGTAGAAGTGCTCACAGGGTGCACTGGGCATGCTGCAGAGGGGCCTCCAGGTTCTGGGGAGATGGTGTCCCCAACTTCCTGATTACAGCTCCTGTCCAATAGGGGATGGAAAGTGAAGGGCTCTTCAGGTCCCCTGTGAGCTCCAGGCCTGTAGCTGAGGTACCCTAATTTCAGGAGCCCTGAAGTCTCAACCTTGGGGAAGCAGTAGGGCTCCCCCCGACCCAAGACTTCAGAGCACTCACTACTAAATTTCCATCAGTGAGGAGTCCCTTGCACTGCCCAGCTATCCGATGGAAACCAAGCAGCTTTGATTTCCCCTTCCCAAGACTGGCTGCCAGGCCCAGAACCCTGACTCCAAGGAGGCCTACTGTTTATAGGCAGCAAACAGGGCCAACTGCTGTGGCTTTTATGTTCTCTATCTTCTTAGGGCACAGCAGACCCCATTTTCAGTTGGCAAGAAACCTCAGCTCCTCTTCTTCCCAGTCACTAGGCATCCCCTCCCCAGGCATCCCTCAGGATTCCCTGTTCCACTGTCACCTGCACCAAGTCTGGTGGAGGTGGGGGTGTCTACTTGGGGCCTCAAATAGATTCTGGCACAGAAACATGCACACACAGACCTCCCAGACACATAAATACACAAACACATAAGAGCAGATATGGACAGAAATAGGCCCAGGGACATGGACACACAAGGACACACACACAGACACACCTTCCCAGGCAAATACATGTGTAGACACAGAACCCTAGACACACATGCATGGAGATTACAAACACTCAGAGACTTAGACTGAGATGTAACGTGTAGAGAGAGAATACATGTTCACAGCACAGGCACACTCTTTCCAGACCAGCCTAGCCTGTCTGTCCCCTTGGCTGCCCAGGTGTCAGGAAACTTCCAGCCCTATGGAGTTCCTGCTGTTTTGCTCCCAGGGATCAGGGCCTCACCTGTGTCCAGCTTCCTGCGTTTCTGTTCAGGCTCCTGGGGGGCTGCCTCAATGGCACGCTGGGCCTCAGGATGGATTGTGAGGAGGGCCTTGGCGAGGGTGTTAGGGCCCGGCACCCCCAGAGACATGATGCAATGCACTCCTTTGCGCTTGGCTGCAGCCACTTTGTCACTGTCTTTGGAGGCTGTCAGCAGGACCAGTTTGGAGAACTTCCTGGGCTTCCTGGGAGCTGTGGGGACGACATCTGTGCCCGGCTCAGGGGACTCAGGGGACGGCTCCTGGCCGGCCTTCACACTCGCGCCCTCCTGCTCACTAGGCTCAGGCAGGGGCATTTTGGGACTGATGGCCTGTCCCGCAGAGCACACTTGGGCCCCAGTAGATGGATTTATCCCCCTTCTCCCTGGCAGTCCAGGGGCTCTGCCCTAAGGGAGGAGACAAACCCCCATCAGTGAAGCCTAGGTTCAAGGAGAATGAATCTGGGGTGCAGGTTGGGCGGATGGGACACCAGATTAGCAATGACCTGAACTGAGCTAGAGAAACCTGGGATGGTGCTTCTGCTTGGCCAGTTCCTCTCCTGGCAGCATGTCACCTCCCCCATCCAAACCTCACTTTCTCCATGTATAAAATGTGCCAAATACAAGGCTCTTGGTTAGGGGTGGGATGGGTGGGGTACTAAGATACTGGTAACTGTGGGTTACTATGAATCAAGGCCCACAGAGTGAAGTGTTTCCATTTAAACTTCCAGCCACGTTATGAAAGTCCACCATTCTTACCGACCCAGTTTACAGAGGAGGACACTGAGGCATGCCAGGGTGACCAACACAGCCATGAAGAGGCAGAGCTGGGAGACTAGCTGAGGAAGATCAGGAGCCCACCCCACACGGCACCTGGTGTACCTTGTCCAGGATAACAGTCACTGGTGTTCCTGAGCACCAAGCATCTGAGACAAGCACGGAGAACATGAGCTCAGGCCATTGACTCTCCCAGAATTCCCAGGGCCCTTTCCCCCTCACACTCTGCAGACCACAGAGTTCCCGGCCCTGGGAGGCTTGACTCTCTGGACTCACAACTAGATCCTAGATCCTGCCCCCACCCCAGGCAGGAGGCCTGGGGCCACCCAGAGCTCAGGAGGTGCCAGGGCCCCACGAAGACAGCAACCTTGTGCTTGAGCTGGTGCTGGTGCTGCCTCGGCTGAGCAGGGACAGGGCTGTGGAGTTGTCCAGAGAATCCGTGGTCACTGAGGGCTCCCTGGCTTCTGGACTGGAGAAGCAGAAAGGACAAATTACCGGGGTCAGGCTTTTCTGGGGCATCAGTGTGGGGTGGTCTTCTTTGTTTTGGGGTCGACTAGGTGGTGGGTGGATGGCACATCTTCCCAGTTTACAGTGTTAGCCCAGAAACGGTGCTGTAGCCTGGGGAGACATCTTGCCCACCCTGTCCAGGACTATGCCTTGGCAAGGCCCACAGATGCCTACTTGCACCCTTGGACCTGTTTCTTCAACCGGCTTGTGGTTCTCACTGTTTCCTTCTTCCTGTGTCCTCACAGGGTCTTCCTTGTGTGCATCTATATCCCACTATCTTCTTATAAGGACTCTGCTCATACTAGATCAAGGCCAACTCAATATGACACGATTTAACCTTAATGACCTCTTTGAAGGCCCTATCTCCATTACAGTCACATTCTGAGATCCTGAGAGTTAGAACTTCAACCTACGGATTTGGGGGTGGGCACAATTCAGCCCACAACAGCACAGAACATGGTAAGTGCCCAATAAATCATAGCTTGTGGTATCTCTAGATCTTTTTTGTTTTAGATATATTTTTATTGATTTCAGAGAGAGAGGAAGGGAGAGGGAGAGAGAGAGAAACATCAATGATGAGAGTTATTGATTGGCTGCCTCCTGCATGTTCCCTGCTGGGGATGGAGCCCCCAACCCGGGCATGTGCCCTCACCGGGAATCCAACGGCAATCTCCTGGATCATAGGTAGCTGCTCAACTGCTGAGCCGTGTGGGCTGGGCCTCTACATCTTGATGCCAAACTTCCATGCCCATCCAAACCGAGAGCATGTCCCTGGAGGGCAGGAGCACGCAAGGCCTGCATGTGAAACTAAGGGCTGTTGACTCAGAAAGGAGCCCTCATTCCGGCTGGATCTCAGTACAAATGCCACCCCCGTCCCAAAAGCTCTGCTTGTCATCCAGGGGAACCCGAATAGGCTTATATGGATTTTTTTTCTTTAGATCATCATCCAAATTTTAAAAATATGAAAATGCTTGTAAAAACCGCCTTCATCCAAGAGCTACCAGTTGGAAAACATACACCTGCACAATGAACTGCTCCTCTACATTGCCGAAACACCATTAATTTATCCCGATTTAGTTTTCTAACCAAAGGAAGGCAATGAGATAGATTATATTGAGGTTATATAAAAATGTTGAAATATTTAATTGATAAAGTGATATAGAATACATTAAACAATAGTAAATCTGCATAATCCCACCTCCTATCACAAACTGCTTTCATTTCTGCATTGTTTTCTACATACATTCTTTTTCACAGCAACAAGCAGAACTTTCAAATAATTTTATTTCCTGTTTTCTTTTCATTTATTAGGGTAGAAACCACCAGCCTAGAGACCAGATGGAAGGACCCTTATAAAGTGGCAGAGCACAATTCAATTTACTCCTGCAATTGCATAAACTTCAATTTAAACCTTAAGCAACAGTATTCTAGAAGGCCACAAGATAGAGATGCTGCTTCTTAAAATGAGCTATTTTTCGGATAAAAAAAGAGGACACAAGGGGCGAAAAAGGCTATAACAAGGTTTTAAAGTGTTTATATTTGGTCTACAAAAAAGCATTGTTAGAAAGTCCAATGAACACATTTAGCAAAGATGATGTTTTCTAGGCCAAACAACTGTGCATTTTCCCAAAAAAGAACCAAGAATTTTGGTCCCTGCCCTGTGTCTTTCTCTCTCAACCCACTTGTCTTTCCTTTTATTTATTCTCCATTCTAGTCATATTTGTCACGTACTTACTAATTTTATTTGACCCCTTCTCAACTTAAAAAGCAGGTGCTTTCTAGTCTGTTTTTAAAGAATTATATAAAAACACACTAAAGCTAACTAAGAAGTAATTCATCACAATGTTAGCAGTGGTAGGAATGAGGGATTTCATTTTTTTGCTAATTTTCTATTATTTTCCCCAAATTGTAATGTGCATGAACTATTTTACAATGGGAGAATATTTAACATTTTTACTGATGGTAATTTTCTTTTTAGTCTACTTAGAAAAAAAGGTCCCCATTCCTATGCAAAATAATATCATATAAGAAAATAAAGATTAATATAAACTAGAATTTAAAATGAATAAAATTAATGAGAGAGAACACACACCCTGCCCCTCCAGCACTCCTGTCCATGTTCAACATTAAAGAGACCTGTCCAGAGCCATGTTGTTGGTTCTCAAGCTGGGAACTGAGCCAGGAACAAAAATCCTATGAAATCGGCCCATTTCTCCAGAGCAATCTTCCTTCCATCATCCCCACTTTGCTCATGGGAGGACTGAGGCTCCAGGACTTAAGAAAGTGGCCCAGGACAGCAGAACTATAGGAAGCCAAAACTTGAACCCAGGCCTGGCTGGTCCAGAGCCAACATTCCTTCCTCTGCCTTAAGCAGTTGAGGCTTAAAGTGAGAAATGCCAGTTACAGAGGAAACTGCATCCGGGATGTCAGAGTAAGTCCTCAGGCTATAACTCAAAGAATAAAATACATATCCATAAGCCCACACTGAAATAAATAATTTAATGTATAAATAAATGGGGAGAAAGGACAAGTCCTCCTTATGAAGAATTCCAAAAAGTAAATCTTCCCTTTTCAGGAGGTGAAGATTAAGTCCGACCCTTGATGTGGGGGAAAGAATAGACTTTGCAACAAATGTTGACGTTGGGACAACTACATATCCAATACAAAAGAGTGAAGAGGGACTCCCTCCTCACACCATTTACAAAAATTAACCCTAAATAGATCGTAGACTTAATTGGAAGAGCTAGTTATAAAACTCTTTTTAAAAAGGATAGGAGTAAGTCTTCATGAACCTGGATCAGGCAAAGCTTTCCTCAATATGACACTAAAAGTACAGGCAACCAAAGAAGAAGCAGATAAACTGAAGAAAATGTAAAACTTTTGAGTCAAAGGATACCATCAAGAAAGGTAAAAGAGCCCTGGCCAGTGTGGCTCAGTTGGTTGGGTATTGTCCTGGGCAACAGGAGGTTGCTGGCCCAATTCGGTCGAGGGCACATGCTGGGGTTTCAGGCTCAGAAACTGGTAGGGGGTGTGCAAGAGGCAGCCGATCAATGTTTTGCTCTCACATTGATGTTTCTCTCTCTCTCCCTCTCCCTTTCCATTCCTCTCTCTCTAAAAATCAATAAACTATTTTTAAAAAAAAGGAAAGTTAAAAGGTAACCCATAGAATGGGAGAAAACTTTTTTTTAGGAAAATGTTTTTTTCCTTTCTTTTTAAAAATGTTTTTATTGATTTTTAGAGAAAGAGAGAGGGAGTGGGAGAGAGAGAAGGTCACTGAGAGAGAAACATCAACATCAATCTGCCACCTCTTGCACACCCCTTACTGGGGATAGAGCCTGAAACCCAGGCATGTGCCCTGACCAGGAATCAATCCAGTGACCTCTTTGTGCATGGGCTGACGCTCAACCACTGAGCCACATCAGCCGGGTGGGAGAAGAATTTTGCAAATTATATATTTGATAAGGAGCTTGTAGCTGAAATTTATAAAGAACTCTAACTCTGTAATAAAAAGACAAATAACCCAATTTAATAATGGGCAAAGGCTCTGAATCGGCCTTTTGGCAAAGAAGATATACAAGTGGCTAATAAGCACATGAAATGTTCCACATCATTAGTCATGAGGGAAATGCAGAACAAAACCACAATGAGATACTACTTCACATCGCTAGGATGAACATCAGTTCCTTTTCTGGATTCATCCCTAGCCTTCTAGAAATGTATTTCCTAGGTGTAAGGGAAGGGTTGAGAGGCAGCTACTTTAAGCCAAATATGTGTATTTTGAAAATTAAGTTTTTACTCAGTAAGAGTTCAATAAATAAATAGAATTTTAAAAAGTGAAGCAGAAACGAATTAAAAAGATCAAAAGGCTTAACAGTTACCTTACTATGCTCGGTGTACACCCTACCCCTGTGTAATCTGGTGGTTTTATATTGCTGTGGCCTCCAGTCACCCACTTATCCCAACCAGCTGTCATGACGTTGGTCTGCACAAAGGAGCCCCAGAAGTGTAAAGATGGCTCAGTGTAAGCCCCAAATCACACAATGTTAAAAACTGGCAGGAGCCTCTGAGACATCATCAGGTCTTTGGGAGGCAGAATAATTGTCCCCCGAAAATGTCCAGGTCCCAACCCTGGAATCTGTGAATGTGTTACCTTACATTGCAATAAGGGATTAAGTTTTCAGATGGAATTAATATTACTAAACAATTGCTTGGATTATCCAGGTGGGTCCAATTGCAAGGATCCTAAAAAGCAAAAGAGGGAGGCGGAAGAAGAGTCAGAGAAAGACATGCTGATGGAAGCAGGGTCAGAGAAATGCGGTGGTTGCTGGCTGTAAAAATGGACGGCGGGGACCATGAGCCAAGGAATGCTGGAGGTCTCGAGAGGATGGAAAAGACAAAGAAACAGATGGTCTCTTCCAGAGTCCCCAGAAAAGAATACAGCCCTGCCCACACTTTGGTTTTAACCCAGTGAGACCTGTATCAGACTTCTCAACTCCAGAACTGTAAGATTATTACAAAGCTGTGTTGTTTTTAGCCACTAAATTTGTGGTAATTTGTTACTGAAGCAATAAGAAACTAATGGGAGGTCCAATCCGGTATTGGTGAGATTCTGAAAGATTCAGCCACCCTGAGTGGTGGCTGATGATGGATCTATAGAATTTTCCATACCCTCATAGGTATGGGAGAGACATACCATCAAAGTCCATCAACACCTGTGCCCTGAGCCATGCGAGCAAACCCCTTTTCCCCTTCCCCTCCCCCTCCCTTGCCCTCTCTGGGCTGGGAATAGTGGTGAATTTAGCTGGGGTTCTTAAAAACACGTAGGGGGAGGGGGAAGTGGTTGTTTTATTATTATTTTTATTTAATCTTCACCTGAGAACATTTTTTCCATTGCCTTTCAGAGAGAGTGGAAGGAAGAGTTGCCTCCTGCACGGACAGGGACGGCGCTGGAGCCTGGAACCGAGGGACATGCCCTTGGTGGGAATCGAACCCCAGACCCTGGGACCCTTCAGTCCGCAGGCGGACGCTCTAACCACGCAGCCAAACCGGCTAGGGCGGAAGCGGCCGTTTTAAAAAGTTCCCGGTGATACTGAGAGCTGCCCGCTCGCTGCCCCCCAAAATCCCTGCTCTATGCGCTTGGCCGAGGGCTGTGGCTGGGTCGCTGGTGGGGTGATGGGCCAGTGTAGCTGTGCAGGTACATATCCTTTCGGGGAGACTTTCAAAGCAGCAGTGGCCCCCAAAAAGGTCAAGAACTGCTGCTCTATAGTGTGCAGGGAAGGGCTTCCCCAAAGTGGGGATTTCATGTCATGGCACCTCCTGTCCCCGAATCGCCATGGCTGGGAATGTTAGTTACTTCTACTCCTCCTTGCCCGCTGTCGTGTGTCATCAGACCTGTCCGCGGGCGCCCAGGTGGCCCCGCTCCTACCCTCCTCGGTCACCTCCACCGCCTCTCACCGAGCCTCCGAGCGCTCCCCGCCCCAGGTCGCCCCCTCCCACCTGACATCCCTGCGGGGACCTGTAGAGCCACACGGGTGGGGCGGCGCTGAGTAAGGACGAAGAGGGGGGAGCAGTACTGGGTGGGGTCAAGGAAAGGAGGACCAATGTGGGGCTCCCTGATTTGGGGTGTCTGTCAGGGCTCAGTCTCGGGGTCGGCTGGGTTGGGGTAAAGAGCGAGGAGAAATGAGGCGAATTGCGGATGAAGGACAAGGAGGTGGCCCGGGAGCCGGGACGCAGAGCCGGCGGGGGAGGGGGGTGGGACCCCCAGGATCAGCAGCCCTTAGGAAGCCCGAAAGACCCCGGCCGGGGGGCGCGTCCACGCCACGGGACCCGGGACCCTCCCGGGACCGACCCGCTGGGGCCCGTCCTTACCAGGCACCGGCCGGGGGCCGAGTGCAGCGGGACCCTGCCTCTCCGACGACCGAGCCGCAGCAAGTCCCTCAG